TAGGTTCTTGAGGTTCCTTCAAGAGGATCAGTCATATCATCATTCTGATACTGTCTGGAGTTCTGTACACAAGAGACTGGAGCAGCATTAACTCTAGATGAGCTTCTTGCGTACAGAACTCCAGACATCTACCCCAGTGGTGGAAAACCCTGAGTGGAGAGGGATGTGGGAGGACATAGGCCAAACCCTGTGATGCCCTGAAAGGAATTCTCTGCCCCAATAGTTTGGAACTTTGCCCCTGAACAAATTCAGAATCCAGCTGAGGTGGGGAAATATCTAAAAGAGAATTGCAATGACAGCTCTAAAGATAAAAAGTTCATTGCAATGTGCTAGGCCCTGGCTAATGCATATTGCACACTGCTAGACACTGTAGGGCAGCAAATACAGCCAGAGGGGCAGGAAGATGAATGAGCAGACACCCCAGGCACTATGGCTGCAGCTAAACCAGACGGGGAGCCTAAGCCAACAGCAATTGCCCCTGTCCAGAGAAGGAAACACAAAACAAATCCACTCACCCAGTGGATGACAATTGGGTGTCAGGACCCTCACATCCAGCAGAGGAATTGGAACCAGAAATAATCACCAAGTCGACGTCCTTAGAAAACCTTAACAATCTGAGAAAAGATCTCAGCCAATGGCCCAACGAGTCTATATTAAATTGGTTGGTCTGAATCTGGGACACCGCAGGCTATGGTACAATTTTGGATGGTACTGAAGTGAGGCATTTGGGATCTCTGTCACATGATGTGGGTATTGACCAGGGGATTGTAAGGACACCCAAACCTCTCAGCCTCTGGACATGGCTCTTAACAAGTGTGAAAGAAAAATACCTTTGCCCAGAAGTTCTCCAAATGCAGCAAGACCTCAGGAAGACCATGGAGCAAGGGATCCAACACATGAGAAAACTGGTTAGAGGTCCTTTTCTCAGATGGCAACCAAGCCACTAAGAGTCCAGACATTGTAAAATGTACAGTGATGTGGCTCAAACTTGCACAAATCCAGCCACAAATGTACACCCATGACATAGCAACACTGCAGTGGAACGAGAGGGATGAGACAGTAGTACTGTGACAAAGAGGCTCTGGTACTATGAAGACATTGTGCATGGCCCAACAGAAGCAAAAATCTCAGCTGTGGAAACACATCTGGCAGAGCATATACAGAAAATGGAAGACAGAATTGAAGAGACCCATCAGAAACTACCAGGAAAGAGACTAAAGAGGATCTTCTCCGAGTCATGTCAGTACAGAGCAGATGCCCTATTATCAGAGGCAGATGACCCCAGCTAGGGAGATGGGGTACACCCCACAAGCTGACCTGTGGTTCTTCCTGTGTGAGCATGGGGAAGATATGAGCTGGGATGCAAAAAATCATCTCTGTTCGCACATCACACGTGTATAAACTATCTTCCTCAACTCCTCCCTTTCTCTGCCCTTGTCTCCTCCCAAATATGGAGCCAAGCCCAGGGATCTTTTCCCTGTGGCTCACAGGTTGGCTCTGCCTGTGAACAGCCTTGGTGTTGAAGCTGCTGTTGGCCTAGATTCCTCCAGCCCATGGTGACTCAGAGAACTCTCTGATCACTTTGGAGCTCTTTGGAGCCACTCTGTCCCTTTGTGCCTGATGGGTCTGCCCTCAGGCTCATTCTGCAGATGCCAATCGTGGCAGTCCTTGCCTTGCTCAGGAGTAAGAATTCAATCAAAAAGAGTGTTCTCTGTGACCAAAGGTAATTTTATTTCAACCTCCAGGTTCTTCGTGCATGGAAGAGATGAGTGTGAGCAGGACAGAGCAGGCTTTTGACATTGTGGCAGCCTTGGGATCAGCAGGCAAAGGTTGCTGTGCACTGCAAGCACACCCTGGATGCTGCCCACTCTGGTGATCAGGAAGCACTTTTAATATTATATGTGCCAATGTGGGCCAGGATCCAGTCATAGAAGTACTGAGTGAAGGTGTAGACTCCAGGCCGCCTTGCTTTGCCACAGCTTGTTCCCCAGCTGGTCACTCCAACAACCCACCAGTAGTCAGC